CACACACACACACACACACACACACGCAAACACACACAAGGTAATAAAGGTGGAGAGTGATTGGAGAAGATACCCAATATTGATCTTGGATCTCCACATGCATGTATACATATTCGTGTACCAAACTTGTCTTAGTCAATGTTCTATTGTTGTGAAGTGACATCGTGATCATGGCAACTCTTCTAAAGGAAAACATTTAATTGGGGCTGGCATATGGCATAAAGTTTCAGATGATTAGTCCATGATCATCATGGTGGGGAACATGGCAGTAGACAGGCATGCAGGCAGGAAACAGAGAGACTGAGCCTGTTGTGGGCTTTTCCAACCTCAAAGCCTACCCCCAGTGACACACCTCCTAATCATTCCCAAACAGTACATCAACTGCAGCCCAAGCTTTCAGATATATGAGTCTATTGGGGGCATTCTTATTCAAACCACAGTATGTGCATTGTATTTTCATTTTCTATTTATCTCTTGATAAATATAAATATTTATATAAATATAAATATCTATTTCAGTTTCTTCTCTCATGGGAATAAATGTAGATATATCAGTATCTTAGTGTGTGCTCTACTACTGTGATAAACACCATGACCAAAACCAAGTTGGGGTTGAAAGGATTTATTTTACTTAGCACATTACTTCTCTTCAGAGAAGTTAGGGCAGGAACTGAAGCAGAAGCCATGCAAAAATTCTGCTTACTATGTGACTCTCAGGGCTTGCTCAGCCTGCTTTCTTATACAATCCAGGATCATCTGCCCAGGGGTGGCACCACCTACAGTGATCTGGGCCCTCCCACTTCTATCATTAATCAAGAAAGTGTCCACAGGCCAATATGATGGGGGTAGTTTCTCAATTGCGATTTCCTCTTCCCAGATGACTCCAGCTTGTGTCAAGTTGACAGAACAAACAAAAAGAGCCAACCAGGACAAACAGTATGTCTCTGCTACCTGTAACTTTCCAGCTTGGTTTTATGTTTATTTTAAAGCCATTATTGGAAATGAAATTTTTTTTTCTTCTGTGGTTATCTTGTGCACTTGAGTATAAGTGCATTTTCTTATAACAGAGCACTTGGATTTGTATATACTATCACCCCTCACATACATAATCATGTTATTTCAGCTTTTTCCAGGCTATTTTGCAGGACTGATTCTTATTCTACATTATAGATGTTTAGATATCTTAAAAGTGTAGTAGATTAATAAAGTTAATTCTCTTTTCACTTTGTAGGTCGTAAGACTTTTCCAAGAGCTAGAAGGACCCAGGGCACCAGCTTCCGATCTCCTGTGAGTTTCAGTCCTACTGATCACTCCTTAAGCACTAGTAGTGGAAGCAGTATCTTTACCCCAGAGTATGACGACAGTCGAATAAGAAGAAGGGGAAGTGACATAGACAATCCTACTTTGACTGTCACAGACATCAGCCCACCCAGCCGTTGTAAGTAATAGAAATATATAGCAGAACATTCGCATAGTTTTGTATTAACAGGAATAAATGGCAAGTCAGAACTCTGGGAAAAACACTCTTCATCAGAGATAGTAGTGTGATTTTAAAGGTGGCTAGGCCTTTAGGAATAAGTGGATATTTCATCTAATTACTTTAGTTAATTGTTCTTCACTTTATTAGGAAAATTGTTACTAATTGTTCCTATCCATTTTATTCTACATGTCCATGTTAAACACTGAGACTTCCTATGTAACTTCTAAGAAATAGCCTAGTGAGAAGGTTGACTTGTGAGAAAGAATTACAGCATAACATTTGTTAGATCCTATGTGTAAAATTCACTAGTTGTGTGTATCAGACTTTCATCAGACAAAACCTTACTAAACCACTTAAGGGAGGAAGGATTTATTTTGGCTCAAGGTCTTAGTCTGTAGTCCTTGGTGCCATTGGTTCTAGATCCATGATAAGACAGAGAGAGAGTACTGTGGTGATGGACACGTGGATAGAGGGTACAGGCTTCATAGTAATGAGAAACAAGCCTGGAGATGTGGAACTTGGTTCCTGCCTGGGTTAGGCTTAGTTTTAGGTTTAGGGAGATGAGATACACTTCCTCTAGCAAGGCTCCACCTCCTGAAGTTCCAGAACTTCCCCAAATGATTCCATCAGGACTGAGTAGCTGTCTCTCTCTCCTTATTCTTTATCTTTGAGTATATCAGCATATCTGTGTGTGTGTGTGTGTGTGTGTGTGTGTGTGTGTGTGTGTGGGGGTTATTGTTACACCTATAACCTATAAGTTTGTTTTCTTGTTGCTATAACAAAATACCTGACCAAAACTTAAGAGTTTTGACTTAAGAGTTGAGGGATAAAGTCCATCATAGAAGGGAAGGCACATGGTGGGAACTTGAAGGGGCTAGTCATGTTGAATCTGCAGTCAGGAAGCAGGAA